CCCTGTATAGGGTCACTATGGGTCGGAACCGACTCGACGGCACATAACAACAATAACAACAACAAAGTCATTAAACAATAAGCTTACAAGTACATGTTATTCAGAACTTTTAATTGACTCTGTTATAGGTATGTCTGTCAACTAAGGGCACTACGGTGTTTATGATAAAGCTATGGAAATGGATGCATTCAACCCACACTGTTACTTTGAATTTCATTATTTAAGTTTTTTCCATTTTCAGGACTGATGAATGATGGTGGTGGTTATGTGCCGTGGAGTCGGTTCCAACTCATAGCGACCCTATACAGGGTTTCCAAGGCTGTAAATCTTTATGTGAGCAGAAAGCCTCATTTTTCTCCTGCGGAACAGCTGGTAGTTTCAAACTGCTGACCTTGTGGTTCACAGCCCAATTTGTAACCACTACACTAGTGGGAAATAATGTTAGGCACTACATGAAATGAGAAAGGACAAGGTTTAGCATCAGATCTGGGGCTCTAATAAAGACTTTTTAACTTTTTAGTGCCATGACCTTAGACAAGTCATTTAACTGCAAAAATTCTCCAACGGGGATGATGTAAGTAAGAATCCACTGAGGCACTGATGTGAAAGTTCTTTGTAAGTGTCTCAGGTTTCATTATATAGAAAATCCCACCTTAGAGTATGAAGGCACTCTTTAGTGTGGCTTTTAATATTTAGTCAGACTCACCAATCTCCACGGAAGGGAAAACATCACTTATAATGAATTTGTTTAAGGATTAAGGTGAGCCTGACACAAGCCATGTGCCTCTTTACATGTGAGCGTTGGACGATAAATAACAAAGATCATGGAAGAATAAATGCCATTTCAATTATAGTGTTGATGAAGAATATTAGAAGTACCATGTACTGCCAGTAAAACAAATCTGTGTTGGAAGAAATATAACCAGAATACTCCTTAGAAGCCAGGATGGTGAGATTTTGTCTCTCTAACTTACGGAATATGATCATGAGGGACTAGTCCCTGGAGAAAGACATCATGCTTGGTAAAGCGGAGATCAGTGAAAAAGAGGAAGACCCCCAATGAGATGGATTGATACAGTGACAGCAGCAGCAACGGGCTCAAATGTTAACAATGATGAGGATGGCACAGGATTGGGCAATGTTTCGTTCTGTTGTGCACAGGGTCACTATGAGTCAGAATCAACTCAAAAACACTAACCACCACCACCTACAACATAATTAACCTTTCAAATGAGGCCTTTAGAATGGATCTCACTATATGTTTAAACGTATTTGAGATACTAATAGCAATTTAATATTTTCCCATGTTCCTTTAACTATAAATAAAAGCGAACAGATACACGATGCATTTATAATATGCTAGGAACTGCTTTATGCTATTTAATCCTAGCATAAATGGATTCCTATAATCTGAACAACTCTTTAAGATTAGTGTTATGATTATGAACATTTTATAGATGATGACACCAGGGTACAAAATAGAGCAGGATACAAAATCAACTATGGTCTCAGCCAAAATTTCATCCACATTCACTGCATTCGTTCATATTCACTGCATTCTATATAGTTAGCTATTTTCTCTGGTTCCCATAAATCAGACAAAATACTAGTTTTCTGTACTTTGGGGTTGAGAATGAATGCCAGGCTCAAACAATTGTTGACCCAGGAATGATGACACATAATCTAATGAATTGTTACACTGTACTTGCAGAAAATGCTGTCTATAGTCAAGTATTAGATAGGAAAAAGGAGTCTACTCAACTTTCCAAAGCATGGGAGGGGGGCTGCAAACTACATTTGAGCATGCGCCTGGTGGGGTGCCTACCCACTATGACTCTAGAGAAATAGTGATTGCATCATGTTTCCCAGATTCACAACCACACTGACTTCACCCTAGTTTTGGCTTCAGCCATTAAAGCATGTGGTCTGGACATGAATTTGGAATCAGTAATCTTTTTAGCACCTTGTGCTTTTCTTCCCTACTTCAAAATAGTTTGTTCAGTGTTCCATTCCTTTAGACTTTGCTAGAAGACTAAGAGGTTAAGTTGAGAAATCTGTTTCTACCTAGAGGTAATGACTTTGGGTATTGTTTTGCATTTTATAGGAGGGTCTCCAGTACTGTAGCCCTCACCAGGGGTGACTAACTTAGAAATTAAAAGCACCATGGTAGCTCAGTGGAAGCTCCTTTACAGATGGACCTTTCATTATACCACCTAGGCAGCCTGCCTACACATTGAGCCAGCCAGGGCCAGCATGTTGGGTGGCTTCAAAGGGAAACGAGTCACTGGAAGTTCTAGTGGCAACAAGTTAATTCAGTTGCACAGTGTGCCTAAGCTTCCAGGAGATTACCTAAGCTGTAGGGGTCATAGCAGCATATTAATTTATTTGGGGCACAATGGTCAAAAACTTTAATTAACTGAAAATTACCCATGCAGGAGATAGATTTACTTTAACTGGGAGTTTTCTTTAAAAATAGGAGCAGACTTAAAGGCCTGGATAAAGTACTAATCCAATTAATAAAGGCATTAAACAGCGCCATGAATCTTATGTTATTTTATGTAATTATTTGAAGGGCTTAGAATGAAAGAAATGTCAGAAGGAATAAGAGTGCTGTGTAATGAATTTCTGCCATGTGCCGCCTTTGAGCATCCCCCCCCCCAACCCATTTCTCTTGTTAAAATTTCAGCAGATATTCTTGCAATAACACCACCAACAAAAATTTCCACATTACTCAAGACAATAATTTACTCACAAAGGAAACACAGCTGCAACTTTATTAATAACCAACTTTCTTTTATTAGAGCATATACATTTGTGAAAACTGTACATTATACATTTTGGTTTCAAGGATTATAAATAAAGGAACTCACAGGTAGGGAGTTCTTTTTCACAGCAAGAAACTTTAAATAAACAAAGTCATGTTTTATTAAAGTACATTGACAGGCTTCATGTGCTGTCCAAAATGTAGTGTACAGTATAACAACCCATTAGAAAGAGCCTTTCATGTAAAATACAGCTGTGCACATTTTAGAAAAATACCAACAATTTGAGCTTTGTTTTAAAAAAGCTTATAAATCATACATATATTTATAAATGGAACCAACATGCTCACCTTATAAACATCCTTTACTTATCTGTTACCCATTATTTCCAAAGCTATACCTATTTTAAATAAACACTTAATACGATTAAACTTTTTTTAAAAAAATCAGCTTTTCCAGCATAAGGAGCTACGGGGTCAGGAAGGAGCAGTGAAGAGTACTGAGACTGACAGGAACTTAAATGCTGCTTTTTTTGGGTAAAAACGTACTTCCTGAATTTAAAAGTCAAAGCAAAATGTAAAAAATAAATAAATATACAAGTTGTAAATGTCATTTGCGCGTTCTCTCTCTGTCTTTTCCTTTATCCATATTGGTCACACCCAGGATTATCAACATATTGTACTGCAATAGACACCACCAGGTTGCAACCCCGACGGTGACAGAGCATTCAGTCCACGCCTGTGCTAAGCTAGGAACTGTCTCTTCTGCATTGAAAACGAAGCTAAGAAGGTAAAATGAATCCTTGAGTAAGCCATGCAAATCTCAAAAGTAGTTAGGAATAGCTCCCCGTCTACAAGGTAGTGTTTTAAAGAGACTTAATAAGACAGTTATCCTCCCCTGATCTCTTTTAAAGTATTTTTATGATGACCCTGTGATTTCTCTAAGTAAGCATGCTTCTGAGTAATACAGAATAAATTATAAAAGAACAAAAATCAGATTATGTCAGAATAACAAAAGACTTCAAAAGACAAATATTTAAAATAAAAATGTCTAAGCCTTTGAAATGTGAATAAAATTAGACATGGACTTTGAAAAACACAAAAGGCATACAATCGAGAGGCAGTGATTTAACAAGGCTTTATGCTCTCTACCTGTATGGTTTCAACAAAAATTAAATTTGGAAAAAAATAGAGAGAAGCGCAGTTATTAATAGCATCTTGCGTAACTCTCATGGGAATTAACATAGCCACTGACAAGATTTTATTTGGTTGTAAAGTACGTCAGCAATGAAACTGAATCCTTTAAACACTGATTACTGCAATCCATGCACAATTTTGACTATTTTTCTCAGAATTCTGTCATCTTTCTGCTTTTAAAATTCAGCACCTCCTAAGTGCATAACTAATTTACCTCGGTAGTGTCAAAAACATTTAAAATTAATTATTCCTTCTTGTTGTTAAGTGCCGTCAAGTCGATTCCGACTCATAGCAACCCTGTCTTGAGTTTCCGAGGAATGGCTGGTGGGCTTGGACCGCCAATCTTGAGGTTAGCAGTCCAGTGCTTATCCTACAGCACCACACCAGGACACCCTAAATTATTCCTTAGGATGATATAATGCCTTGAAATTGCTAAATTTTCAAGATAAACAGACTTTTACAGATTTAGGAAGAATACATGATATGGAAAATGATGTGTGTGTATCAAAATAAACACATTTTCACTAGCATTTTGTTGTTTCTTTTCCTTGAGATGTAACAAGTGTGCTTCGTCTGGCCAGGACTGCACGTTGTGATTGACGCTACAACGTATTGAAATAAATAGTAAAAATGAACATAATGCATCGTGCACAAGCAAAGGAAACATTTCTCCCAGAACATTCCAGGAGATGTTGAAGCAGCAGGTCATGGCATAAGACTGGTGAGTGATGCTGCTACCTATTTCTTCTACCGAGATAGGAGTGAATGTTGGAACCACTTTCACAGCAACATAATCCTGTGATCACATTCCTTGGGCAGTCCTTTCCCAGCTCCCTACTAAAAACGTCAGACGGTAAAATAGTAAGGCAGCTGTTGACTTCCATCAAAAAAAAAAAAAAATGCAGCTCCATACATTTCCAGTTTAGTCACACTCTGCTAGGACAGATGGAGTAGCCAATGCCAAGAACTTCGTCGGATGGGGCGGCTTCAGCAGATTTTAAAAAAGAATTATTATTAAGTTTTGCTCTCCAACATGGTTGTTTGCTTCAGCCCTCAGAGGACCCCCAAAGCCACAAAACACTCCCAGGGGGGGACCTGAACAGGTTCCCTGACTGTATTTTCCAAGTTTCCTCTCTCGCGTGATCCCATCCTAATTGCAAGCCTCCTTCCCTGTGTCTTGAGTCTGACTGAGGTGTGCCACTTAAAAGGCAATGACACCACTGAAGAGACCTGTGGGCTAACACCACTAGTTGTCATGACTTCACTGAAGGGTCAGAACAATTATATCATTAAGTAACTATGCTGAATCATATCCAGGCACAGCCAAAATTAAAGCCAAGGACAATAGGTAGTTGTAAAAATGTAAATTTGAATACAAGACAATGTTGTACATTATGATTTCATAGAGAAATTAAGGCTACTTTCTTACCTTTCCTAATTCCAATCAAGTTAGAAAGTGAACAAAAAGAATGGCTAACCCGATATTCAACAGCATGACCAGGACAATCATGACTGAATTAGGGCCCTAGAAAGAAAATACAATAAAACAAGTGTAACTCTTGTTATCAATGCAAACATTTGTTCATAAAATCAATTGTATTATCTGTCTGTCTATCTATCTATCTATCTATCTATCTATCTATCTATCTATCTATCTATCTATCTAACAAAAAGTGTTGGAATAAATAAGGCATGAATAATGACAGCAGTTACAAAAGGTTCAAGTAAAAACAATACTATAGGTGGAGCCATTTTTGAACCTTCTACTACTCCTGTAAAGATTTACAACCTTGGAAACCCTGTACAGGGTCACTATGGGTCGGAACTGACTCGACGGCACTTAACAACAACAACAACATTAGAAATGAGTCTAGTATTGATTTATTCTAAAAATTATTTTTTGTGAAAAATGTACTGTATTTACCTCAAACCGTAAGCCAGCTAGGAACTAATGGGAATTGGATTTCTTCCCATTTACTGCTAAAGTGTAAGTCATACAAGGAAGACAGTTGTGAGTTTCTCCAGAATGCATGCATGGAAAAGGCACTTTGAACATGAGTGTGAAGTCTGGAGGACAAGGAAGCCTCCAATGGAAAATTCAGGAAAAACTCACAATGAGGTTCTCTAATGCTTGCTTTTTTTCTGGTCCTGTTTTGGGAACAAGATCCCTTCTTTCCAGGTGCTTTGGTAGCATAGTGAAGTATGAGCTGGGCTGTTAAACAGCAAAGTCAGCAGTTGAAATCTACCAGTCACTCTTCGAGAGAAAGGTGGAGGCTTTCTGCTCCTGTAAAGATTTACCCTATGCAGGATCACTATAAGGTGGAACCAACTTGGTGGCACACAACCACCACCACCACTTCTTTTTCTTTTTTAACTTTTTATTTGAATTAAAATTCAGTGAAGGTTTACAGACATGATCATCAGTTTTACATTAAAAAAATCAAACACTTGGTTTCATCTCAATGATTGCAATCCCCTGCATGCAACAACAGTTAACCTGCTTCCTCCCTGTGGCTCCTGTTTGCATTCCATCCATCTACCAATCTCTTCTCAACTTTGCCCTTAGGAACATGTTGTCCATTTGATTTTGAATGATTGACCATCCCATGGTGAGCATACCTTACTTGTTATGTTGTCCCCACTATATATCTATCTACAATTTAACTGAAAATTGGGCCACGAGGGAAAGATCCTTTCCAGACCTGAAGGGTGGTTGAGGGCCATTGTCTCAGGTGCCCCCAGACTATTTCTGACCAGTAAACCAGTGTGTTGTTGTTTTTTTAAATAATTTTGAGTTTTGCACATTTTTTCCCATTCTATCCAGGACCCTATAATGTGATCCCTTTCAGGGCAGATGGTTGTGGCGGTAGCCGGGCACCATCTAGTTTTTCTGGTCTCAGAGTCATGGAGACTGATATTCAACTTTTCCATTAGTCCACTGGACTAATTGATTCCAAGCCTCTTAAGTTCTTATCACTCTTTTCTTCCGCACACAGAGACACCAATACCTGCACCTCAGATGGCTGCTCATAAGCTTTCAAAATCCCAGACACTACTCACCAAAGTAGGATGTAGGCCACTGTCCTCTGAGACTATGGTCCTGAGGCCCCGGGCCCAGCAACTCATTGACTTAAGATGGTCCATAATATCTTGGAAATTTTCATCATTTTGCCTGCTATATGCTCCACCATATTCATAATGGTATTTACAGGAAAGGTAGATACTGATGTATAAATATCCTCTATCAAATTGTTATGTATTTGAACGACCCCTTCTTTCAAGTTAAAAAATACGAATGGAAAGTCAATCTCCTTCAGAAATTATTTTGCAGGTTTAATTTTTTCTTCCAGCTGGCAAGCAGAAAATACAAATATAACTTGATTTCAGGAATCAAGTTATATTTAACAAACTGCAGAATCCTCTTTTGATAGATACTATAATAAATACCAGTGCTTAGTGTAAACAAATGGTTTCCTGTTTTTAAAAAGAATAAAAAGAAACCTCTATAACCCATCTTTTCAGATCTTGCCATGAAGACACAATGTTGGTATTTAAAGAATGTCTAAATCTTAACATTAAAAGCATTTTGAACTGGCCATTAAAATAGTTTTAATTGTCTTTAATTTACAGATGAGGAAACAGGTGCAGTATATCTGAGGATTAGATGAGACTACACGAAACAATGTTATCGATTCTTAAAAATGCATTTTTGGGGGTCGGTTGTGGTGGTCCAATTGCCGTTGGTAAAGTGCTCATCTTTTAGGGTCTATAATTTCCATCATATCAGGAAAAAAAAATCAAATGTTGCATTCGTGACTTAATAGAAGTCCTTTTCCATTATGGTTAACCTTGAACATACAAATACTATGCTTCCGGAACTCTTCTAACTCAGAAAATAACAGATCATCTCCTATCATCCTAATTTAGCACAGAGATTAGTGAAATACTATTACTTCAACATGCTTTGGTTAGCTTTTGTTCATGAGTATGTTAAGAACTTTAGGGAGCCTGTCAAGTCTTTTGGGCTAATGGATGTAATTCCCAAGGGTTACCTAAGTGGTATGAAAGAAGAGGAGGAAAAATATACTGGGCCAGAATAATATAATGTAGAGTTTGGTGTTTTATGGGAACCCTAAGAAAAAAAGAGGAGAGAAAAGCCAATTTCACAAGCTTAAGATGTGCCTGAACGTTTAGCTCCATTTCATAAGAGGTATTCATGTAAAATTCCACGACTTGCCCTTTGATATATTTGGGTTTTGTATATTTTGTTGGGTTTGAATTTAGCTTACTATCTTTCTTCAAGCTTTGGCCCACATCTCCCTGTAATGCTAATCTGGATTCAAATATTGAAAGCACACTGTTGTCATTAGTTACCATTAAGCTGATCCGGACTCGTGGTGTGCAGAGTAGAACTGCCCCATCCAGTTTCAATGACTGGGACCTTTTGGAAGCAGACCATCAGGCCTGTGGTCCAAGGCATCTCTGGGTGGGTTTGAATCGCCAATCTCTAAGTTAGTAGTCAAGTGTTTAACTGTTTGTACCATCCGATGGCCTTGACTGAAAACATACACACATACATACACAAGGGGACTTCACAAAGTTTGTGGGAAAATTCCATTATCTTTTAATTCCATTTCCCATGACCTTTTTGAAGCCCTCTGGTATATTTACCCTACCAGTGTTGCACCACTTAGAAAGCTATTTTTAAAGAGCACTCATGGCACTGTAGGATAAGAACTGGACTGCTAACTGGAAGGCTGGCGGTTCAATACCAGCAGCCACCCCTCGGAAACTGTACTAGGGTTGTTATGAGTTGAAACTGACTTGACAGCACTAAGAACAATAGCAACTAGAGTGAGGATGGGAGTAAACCAGTAATGAAAGGGTCAAACAATAACAGGTGAAAATAAATTCTGGAAAGTTATGTTTAATAGGCAGATATCAAGACACGACCTCTGGGCTCTTCAAAGAACTAGGCTGGGCACATGCTGGAAAGCTTTAAGATGAAGGCCCATAAACTGATTGTGGTGACCAGTGGTAGCTTAAAATAGAAAAAGAAAAAAAAAAAAAATCAGTCTTGCTTTTGAAGACTGACAGGAACAGGTGCAATACTAAAAGCTACTGCAGGACAAAGTGTATGTCTTGAATACAAAAAAACCTTCCGGCAATTGTAAAATAAAATGCAGAGAGTTCAAAATATGGAAAACAAGTTTCACTCAAGAATTTCATCTTCATCTACAATTCTGAGGAATTTTCTGCTTGAAGTATTACTATAGCTTATAACTGAATCATATGGCTTTGCAGTGCTTGAATTTACCTTAATAAATCAAACAAACTATTATTTATATAGCACTTAAACAACAACAACAACATGTATATGCATGTGAGGCCTTATTAACCTCTAGATACAAATGCTGAAAGTCAAATAAGAATTGAATGATTACACTTAGCAAATTCAATAGTGACAAATACGAGGGAGCTTCAAATCATTGATGGAAAATCCCACTATCTTTTAATTCTATTTGTCCATGACATTTGGAGCCCCCTCATTATTTTAATATCTAGACTTTTTTATTGTTGTTGCTAAGAGATCTGAAGTCAGTTCCAACTCATAATGTCCTGTATAGGGTTTCTGAGGAGCAGCTAATGAGTTTGAGCCACTGACCTTGAGATTCAGTGCTTATCCTACAGTGCCACACCAGGACGCCTAGTATCTAGATACTGACATATCAATGCTAAAGAAACAAAAACAAAACAAAACATTTATTAAACAGAGTCTCATATAAAGTTATTCTAGTCTAAAAACTGCTTATGGAGGTTACTTTTAGGAAATTAATCCAGTAAATTTGATTAATTTACATTTATAATAATAATAAAAAAAGACTTTCAAAAAGACACGAACTAGTGTTCTGTAGATATCAGTAAAACAACCAAACCTAAGAAATGTTAAATATATATGAATTTAAAAGATGGATTTCAATTGTTTAACTATGAATAAACTGAACTGAAAAAAAATTAAAAAAAGAAAAAACTGAAATGTAATATCTATATTATGTTCTTATCCAAGATGTTAGTCCACACCACTATGCAAAAATGTCTCTATAGAGTTATTAATAATACTAGGTTGGGTGTGGCGTCCCATTATCTTTGTGGTTCCAAAGGCATGTATGTAGACATCCTCTGTAGGTCAGTCAGACATTTTTTTTTTTTTTTCTTTTATCAATAAATATTCAGCTCCAGACTTAAAATTTAAGAATAAAACATGAATTCAAAAGTTATTCAATAAATCTTATTTGAATGCAATCATAGTTATTTATTCATAGCACAGAGCTTTTTGGTCCAATAATACTTTGGATGCTGAAACTAATTAATAATAACTCACATCCACCAGAATACTGAAACTGTTAGAACATGTGTACTATGAGTCGTTATAAGACCAAAGTCATTTCCTTAAATTACTTAACATTTTCACTTCTCATTTAGGAAAGAAAACATTCCAGCTATTTTCCTCTCCTAAATGAGCCTAATGGTTGTTGTTATGTGCCACCAAGTTGGTTCTGACTATAGTGACCCTTTGTAGGGTTTCAGAAGCTGTGCATCTTTGTCGGAAAAGAAAAACCTCACCTTTCTCCTGTAGAGTGGCTGGTGGATTGGGTTTACAGTTCAGTGTTTATCACACCACCAAGTTTCAACAAAGCCTTTAACTCAAATTAAACATTTAAAAGAATAATTCTCTACAGCTAGAAAAGATATATACAACTGGAATGCTTCTGGTCAGTGATTCTGGGTTCTACATAACCTGTAAGTGTTCAGTTTCTACTCAATTTTATCTTCCACCAAGAATATGAAACTTCAGTGTTACCGAAGGGGGGTGGGCCGGGGGAGGGGAGGTTCGCTCCACAGAGCCGAAGCCAGAACCGGCACCAGGACCCGCGTTCTGCCCTATTTGGTGAAGCAGTGGCTGAAATTAAGAAAAACATCCCCCCTTTGTTTTTGGCATGGACAAATGTTCAGTGGGAGGAATAAAATCGACTGAGCAGACTCCTGTCTTGTTAGGGAGTATAGCTATGGCAGCTAGTTTCATGGATGTAGGAAATTCATTTATTGATCAGACTAGTCATTTAGCTAATAGATATAGAAACCCTTTGAAAGAAGAAGATGATGAGGTTGTATTTATTGATTCTATACAACCTCCCTTAGTTTCTGTACCAGTAATAGCTGATCAAAGAAACCTATATACGATATCAAAAAGGGAAATGCTACAAGGAAATAGTTCCATAATTCTTGCTCCTTCAAGAGATTTGACTTCTCAAAAGAGAAATATAAGTGAAACAATTGTCATTGATGATGAAGAGGATGTAGAAGTAAATCATTTGCAAAAGCAAAATTCTTCAAGTTTTACTGAATGGGGTCTTCGTAGAATTAAAAACAGAACCAAAGATTTGGATTTCTCTACTCCCAGTCTTTCAAGAAGTAAGAACAAGAATGGAGTAGGACCTTTTAATCCTGGTAGAATGAATGTGGCAGGAGACCTTTTTCAGAATGGAGGATTTGTAACTCATCATAGTCCTGTCCCTGGTAACAAACAAGGTTAAGTACTCCGCTACTGACCAAAAGGTTGGTGGCTTGACTCTACCCAGAGGCACCAGAGGCACAGCCGTTGAAAACCCTATGGAATACAGTTCTATGCTGATACAGTTGAAATTGCTGTGAATTGGAATCAACTTTTTGGCAACTGGCTTTCAGGTTACGAAAATACAACATGATTGTTACAGATGTTTGGGGAAAATAGTATTTAGAAATAAATACTATTTAGAAAATAATCTGTTACCTTACTGCAGTAAAAGTTACCACTGTTAAAAAAAAAAAAAGAATATGAAACTTCAATTTCTGTTCAGCTGTTAATGCTGGGATTCATACTTAAAGTTTTATAATAAGCCTTTGCCTGATTTTAGTTTAGGTATTTTTAACTCATTAATCTTATTTGTTTGTTGATAAGAAACGCAGAGTGGAATGTTAATAAATTTCAGTTTAATTCTGTAATGCCAAGAATTTAAAAATGAAAAACTAGTGGTTTAAAAAAAACAAAACAAAAAGGCAACAGCAAGGATGACAAGACTTCAGCTCTCTTACTTTGCATCTGTCATGTGGAAATACCATTTGTTAGAAAAGGACATCATGTTTGGTAATGTAGAATTAGTGAAAACAAGGTATGTCCTCATTGAGATGGACTAACACAGAGCCACAAAAAAGAACTCAAACATACCCACGATCATGGAGGTGGCTTAGCAATGGAAGTGTCATAGGTAAGGATGCCACGACTCAGAGCTGACTAGATGCAAGAACAACTGTGTATGTGTCTTGTCAATAATTAAAGAGTTCTTTTGTCTACAGATGTTGCTGTAGAGATCAAAAGCTTAGTAAGTGATGGTAGAGACCCCTTCCTAATAATGGCTCTAATAATGGTAGGCCCTTGGCAGTGGCCATTACTCTTTAGTCATCAGAGTTAGCTATCATGATCAAACGTACTAGAGGTGCTGGTAAAGGTGTTGGCTTACTAAAAACATGATGCTGTAATAAGATGGTAAGGACTTAGCTACCTGCATATGTCTAAGGTGAGTGGCTGAGTGGATATGAAGGAATTTCTGCCTGGGGAGCCTTGATGCCTCAAGCTACAAGTGTGTTAAACTTTACTCTAAACAGTCATCCCACAGAGTTACCAGAAAGAACCAAAGGGCAGGAAGGAGAAAGAAACACTTTTTAAAGACTTACTGAATTGGCTTCTTTTTCCAAAGAAGGGCACGAATTGTTGTTTCCTGGGTTCTTTGGTATTGCAAGTTCAGACTTCTTAGCTTTTGGCTCAGCTTTGCTTTCTTTGGCAACTGATTTTGTCACAGATTTAGGGGGACTCCACTTGTTAGGTGGTGGCTTGTGCACCAGTGCTGAAGACAACTGGCTAGACCCCTCACCTTCCTCCGTATCTTCTGGAGGGTGCTGGGGTACATTCAGTTTCACGTAGTAGCCATGATACTGAGAATGCAGCTCCCCGTTGCTGGGGTTGGGGACGTAGTGGCGGCCAGAGTACTTGGACTGGGGCACGGCTGCTCCCATCTCCTTTGTGGGTGCCTTTGACATCAAAGGTTTATTGACAATGGATATCACCTGCTCATCAGCCATGCTCTTTCTGTCTTGACTGAGTCTTGCCCCTGAACTGGGGTTTTGCTTCTTCATGGGCTTTGGAGAGGGAGGCTGTGGAGAGTGGCTTTGCTTGGGGCTTGGCTCAGGAGACCTTGGGGGTGTTGTGCCTTTGCGATAAAAGTGAGGCGATTCCTTTGGTGAAGGTGGCTTTTCCGGTACCTTTACTTCTGGATTTTCTTTAGCATCGACACCTTCCTGAAATCTCTGTTTGATGTAGTCAGGGCCTGCAAGGACAAAAAGGCCACAAAAAGAAAGTGATAAAATAAAAACAACAGCAAAAATCTTATATAGCATCACTGTATATCATGCCAATCAATATATGTTGTTGTAAAGAGCCATCGAGTCAGTTCTAATTCATAGTGACCCTGTATAGGGTTTCTGAGGAGCAGCTGGTGGGTTTGAATTGCCAGCCTTGTGGTTCGCAGTTCAGTGCTGATCCTACAGCGCTACACATTGATATACACAAATATATTTCTTTTTTCCTGTATCGTATTAATCTTTTCTTTTAGGTATATTTACAATGTTTTGACTATGCATGACCACATTTCATTCCTTAGTTGTTGTTGTCAAGTGCCATCGAGTCGGCTCCGACCCATAGCGACCCTGTATAGGATTTCTGAGGCGCACTGGTGAGCTTGAACCACCAACCTTGCAGTTCAAATGGCTTTGCACTCTGGTGCATTAACCCACAGCACCACACCAGGACTCCTCATTCCTCAGTAGAAAATATTATTTATTGCTAAAAAAGGTGCTTTTAAAACAGCATATGTTATTACAGCTATCATTATGATAGACACAAAGTTAAAAAACGTTTATTCCCCTCTTGATAATTGCATTGTCCCTGCATACTTGTAGAACCCTGAGGGGAAATTCATGTTAATATTGCACAGGTGCCCAAGCCATAATTAATGTGCTTATTTAAATTGTGTGACATAACTAAGACACTAGTACATACATCTGAATAAAGAAATAAGCTTATTTTTGTATGCATTAAAAAATTTAATAGAGCATCTACACAGTACGGTCTACAGATGTAATATTTTTAATGATCTTTCGTCAAAGGGTCATTTGAACTTCCTAACAGGAATACTTTTGTGGTTCAGCTTGCCCTACACAAAGTAATTTACATGTAGTCTATTCATAGGAGTCTTGAGGTGGCACTGTAGGATAAGCACTGGGCCGCAAGGTCAGCAGTTCAAACTCACCAGGCACTCCTCAGAAACCCTATACTAGGTTGCTATGGATTTGAAATGTATTTCATGGCATGTAACAACAACAACAATAGTCTATTCATAACTCTGAAGACCAGGGATTCCCAAGGGCAGTGTTTCTGGGGGCATCAAAATGGGACAAGGTGGTTATTCTTTGGTTTAGGATTGTTTTTCTATTTCTGAGTTCTTTATAACTATCATACATTATTTTTATGAATAGGAGATAACTTTAAAGTGACTCTGGTGCGCTATTATTTTCTGGGAAGACTCGGGGGCACAGTGGGGAAAAAAGAAAAGTGAGCAGTGAGTACCACATGGTGAGAGCTTAAGAACAGAAATGAGGGTGCTTGGGGCTCTCAGAAACAGTGTTCTAAGCCAGTGCCCTCTACTAGGTACTTCACCTCTTAGACCCTTTCCCAATAATAAGGTCACTTGTATCATTTGCCTACGACTCCATCCAGGGTCACTTTTGGATTTCACTATTGATATAATGTCAATCGCACGTGGTCAGGAGCATATGAGAGACCCTTTCCACTAGCTTTCTAAGTTGACCAGCTCTTGTCAATTTCACAGTACTGCATCTGCTCAGTTTCCTCCCTCCCCAACCCCTCAACTCAGTCAAACTAATTAAAAGACTTAAGTTCAAAACTACCTATACTGCTTATTGATATTTGCAATTCGTCTTCCAATGATGGTCTGTCTGAGTAATAATTTATTATAACCAGGGTACTGTTTATTGTACCAAGTATTTACTAAAATTTAAAACCTCACCAAAAATATTAGAAAGTAAGAGTTATTATCCCGATTTTACTGATATGGAAATAGAATAGCTTTAAGGTCTAACTAAAGGAGCTCTGGTAGCGTAGTGGTTACGAATCGGGCTGTGAACCTTAAGGTCAGCGGTTCGAAACTACCAGTCGCTCCGCGGGAGAAAGATGAGGCTTTCTACTCCTGTAAAGATTTACACCCTCGGAAACCCTGTACAGGGTCACTATGGGTCGGAACCGACTCGACGGCACTTAACAACAACAACAACAATGTAATATAAACGATCATGTAATATTGTAAACCAGAAATGAAAATTCCTAAGTATTTACTATTGCAGGCTGTACCCAAAGTCAAAACAAACAAAAATCAAAACAAACCATGTAGAATTCCTTCCTGATTCTCCATCCTTCAAAAGGTAAATCTGCCCCTCACGAATTCAAGTTTCCCAAATAAGCCAAAAGCACAGACATTTAATAACTGAGATTTGTTTTCAAATTTTGGTAAGTACCCCATGTCTCCTAATTTTCTTTTCAATCCTACATAAAAAATGGCAGCAAGATTCTTGGCCCAGGGAAAGATACATCATTAGACTGAGGCAAGACAAACACTCAGTGAGAACAACTATGATCATTTCAAAGGAGAAGCACTGGATTCAGAATTCTTTCTTGGTGCCCTGGCACTGGGACATACCACCAAGAGAAAGTGGCAATATGAACAGGTAAAGTTTCTCCACCGACAGACTTATGGCTACTTCTTAAAACTCACACCCTTGACAAGCTTATAGAGCGCTTGTGCTCTGCAGTAAGAGAGACTGCCGTGAGTGGGAAAGGACTCAATTGCAACTAACAAGGACAGCTTTTGCTATGCATTTAAACATGACTGGCTAAGGTGGTCGTGGACTCTGAAGCAGTGGTTCTTCCACCTGCTGCCTATCAGATGTTCTTGGGAGCTAGTCCCAAGCTTTAATTTAATACATCTGAACTGAATACTTTCGCTGCTCCAAGTGATTCTGTTGTACCCAGTTACAGATGTATGAAAGAATGCTTCCTAATCAATGTACAATGTGTTGGTAAATTATATACAGATCAACTAGAGGTGAACCTAACGCCAGCTTTACCCAACCAAATGAATCCAGATGGAAATGGTTCCCGCAGAGCACAGTCCAATGAGAACTGGCCAGATCAACAAGGATATGCAGTTAGATTTTCCAGGGTAGGATTAAGTGCTTTTGAAACAAAACACTTAATATAACACAAAGGACAGAAGTTTTTCCTGGACTACTTAATCTTGGAAGGAATCCACTGAGCCTGCCACTTAGTCTGTGTATTAATGTGTGGCAACACTGCAATGCCAGAAACATAAAGTTGATGAGATGCAGCAGGTCATTAAAAAGACTACTCCAAATCCGGTCAGGGAGGAAAAGACAACCAGTGTTGATAGTTATTGCAGTCAGCAGTTTCATCTGTTTTATAGACAGTAAGTACCAAGGAATCCTAAGGGATTTCTCCCCTGGGGATTTATGGTGGGAAGCCAGACAAAAGGTCGTATGTTCACTGACATGCCACGTAATATTAAACAGTATTCGGCATACGTCAGCCACCAACAATGGAAGGTTGTTACATTTGGCAAGAATGCTCTGAACAGATATGGCTGATGGATAACAGCAGGATATCTTTATAGGTGACCTAGGCAGGAGGTGGTCAGAAGGAGCACCAGGAAAAGAATCCCAAGCAAATGTTTATAAGGGCAGTGCCCATATTAACTGCTTTGTTGCAACAGCAGTGGCCATTAAATAGAAATCAGATGCTTCCTGTGGAGACTGCCAATCAGTGAAAGAGGACCTGATTGACAGTTTCATAATGAGTTGGAAGATCACTTTTATAGTCTATGTGAAAAGATTGCTACTTTTCTCCAGGACTTTACAACTGCGTCTATACCACCACCACAACTTCTGAGAACACAGATAATGAACACCCAGCACAATGCCTTGCACACGGATGGCACACGAGATACATTTGAGAAACTGAACAGATTGGAATGAATACGCGGTAAGAACCAGTAAAAACCCTACCTTTTTCCTAACCAAAACATTAATGGTACCATTACAGGCAACTGGAGTCCTGGTGTGGCACTATAGGTTAATGAACTGGACTGAAAATTAGGTTTGAGCTGAGGTTGGCGGTTCAAGCTTACCAAACAACTCCTCAGAAACCCTATACAGGGTTGCTATGGGTCAGAACTGACTTGATGGCACTTAACAACAATAGGCAATTATTTAATGAAATAGGCTTTAATTTCTAAAGACTTCTAACTCATACCAGAAATGCAAGCCTAGCAACAGTGTCCCAAAATAAGTGATACTATGAAAAGAAAGACTTCCATCTTCTGTTTAACTAGTCAACATACAATGTGTTTAAGTGTGTGCAGACTCAAACACAGTTAAACAAAACTTGGTGAGGATGTTGCCCAGGGAAGCAGGCTGGCTATCCTTCAAGATGTCTCAAGGTAAGGAATGCACCACAGTACTGGGCAAGTGTTTTGCAATCTTTTTTTCACCAATGACCAGCTCCTTCCTACAACAGAAAATACAAAAATTTCTCCCCTGCTTAAGATCACTTGAAATGAAAAATAAAGTTAAGTTGGCTGAAATGATATTGAAACAGTAGGGCAAAGAGACACGTGTTCAGTTTTCTGTCCCCCAATCATTCCCCTACTTCCCTGGTGATTGCTTCTCCAAAGGCTGATTTCAGCCTTGCTGGCTTAAAAATCAGGTATCAACAAGCACTTTGAAGAAAAATCACCCCTTGGGCCAGACTCACATCACCAATGCTCATAATACCAGAAGCCAATTCATTAGTTTACCATGAGCAATGAATGGAAATGCCACACAGGACAAGGGATTTGGGAGGATTCCATCAGTGCATACTCTCCCTGTTGGCAGGTGTCGATCAAAAGGTTAACCAAACTAAAAAGGTTCCTGGTGAAAATGGAATCTCAACAAGGAGCATGAGATTAATCAGATATTCAGTGGTATCAGGGTGAGCTAGCCTGATGCTTTGTTTCCTTGATTGGGATGCTCTTACCAATGGTGCCATACTGTGGCAGCAGGCGCTGCATTCTCGCTCATAATAGAAATGGCCTTGCTAATGCACTGACAATGCTGTAAGGTTTTGGTGAAGGCTTCTCTTCCTCTAAGGAGCCCTGGTGGTGTTGTAGGATAAGCACTGGATGGCTAACCACAAGGT